GGGGGGGAGGTTGGTGGAACTATAATGTAAATAGTTCCAGATTAAACACACCCAGCATAGTAAACTATTACTTCTGCAGAGTCAAGGATTAAACTAAGTTTGTTCAGTTTTTTAAACTGAGTCAGTAGTGTTTCTAATCAAACCTATTGGTTTATTTCAATTGGAAGTAAATATCCTATTTTCAGGCATATTGTTTTTAATCTTTGGTTCACATCTCCTTTAAACACTTTCCTCTGAAGTGGCAGCTCAGGCTTATCAGATTCCATTACCATTTCCAACATGCTACCATTTAATTTTGGTTTGGCAGATAGATTTTCTATTAATGCTTTTCAGATGGAGGTGACATCAGATTTTGGAGAGCAATTTTTTTCTGTAAGGGGACTTTTTTATTACTGGGATCACAGAATAATTGTACTTTACATGATTTTTACCTTTCCTTTTTCCTGTCTGATAATATTCATCATTATTAGTGAGACCACTGCTGGATTCTGCGGACTCTGGATCAGACCCTGAATTTGCTTACAGTCATTACAGTCATTACAGTCATTACAGGGCAAGCTAATCTGCATCGTCATGAACCTTTTCATTTTAGTTCTGTCTCACAAGACCTACAGTATATTTTTTTACTAGTTTCCATTTAACGTCACCACAGCTGCTGTTGCCACAGATACAACATGATGAAGAAAAAGGAAAAGCAACACACTTTCATAGGGTTTATGCACATATGCACATAGAGTAATTACATGGGGGGATGTCTTGTGGTGCAGACTACCTGGTCGACCTCCTGCTCAAAGCAGATGTTAACTTTGAGCTCAAGTCCAGCTTCAAAGTTGGATTAAGTTGCTGAGGGCCTTATCCAGCTGAGTTTTGAATAGCTGCACTGATGGAAATTCTGTAACTTGCTCAGCCACTGTTCTTGTTCTCCATATGAAGAATTTTTTATACATGCCTGGAATTTCCCTGCTTTGCTGAAGTTTTTAAATTGGATTGAGGTGTTTATTAAGTTAGAATATGGAGTTCTAGATTTTTCTTTTCTTGGAATAAAAGTACACACTTGAAGATAATTCTATATAATGATAGTCGAGCGAACCCATACACATCAGTAAGGGAGGCAGCAAAGGGGTGTGCAAGCAGCCAGTCAAAAAGAGTAAAACTGAAGTACCTCTTTTAATAGTCGAAGGAAGAAGTCATGGTTATAAACACATCTGGAAGGTGGGTTTTGCTAAGAACAGGCCCTTAGTTAACTTCATGGGGTTTTTTTTATGGGTTCTGTTTTGGGGTCACTTCACAAGGCAAAATTCTCCACACATGACTTCAATGAGATGTAACATTTCCTTATTTTGGCATATTTCCCTATTTAAAATGATGATATTCTATGCTGTGACAGATTAATAGGATTTAAATACCCCAGTCTTTAAGGAAAATGATCCAAGATGAGGGGATACAGGTGCTGTCTGTTCCAAATGTCTGAAAATAATTAAAAGAGGAAAATCACAAAATGTTGAATTTACACAGAGATGGAATTTAATTCTGGCTTGACTGAGTTTATCAAGACTTGTGTGGCTAAATCTGTTGTCAGCTGTAATAAACACTCTCTCTGCTTCAATTTATGTGAAAATTTGCAGCTGTTGAAGAAACAGGCATCTTTGCCTCAGTCAAAAAATACATAAAGTGAATTATGCTAGAATACATGATGTGCAAAACAAGGTGACAGAGCTGGGTGGTAATCGACTGACTCATGGAAGAAAGTGTGAGGGACATACTTTTTTGTATTGATTGCCTCCTACAAGTCATTAGATCATGAAAGTGGAGCTTGTTTAACAGCAGTCCTTGAGAGGAAAAAAAAACCAACAAACATACATGGTTTTATTTTATAGTCTACCTGGAAGCTGTATTCATGTAATTTAGACAGATCCACTGAATTGATTTTCAGCAGTGTACAAAACATACCAAAGTGTACTAAGAGGACTGTGCCATTCTGCCTTTGTCTGCTTAACTCACTACAGACATGAACATGTGCCATGTATTTTTTAAATGTGTAAGTTGACACATGCAATTTATAGGATTTAGGACTGGAAAGAACATGAATTAAACAACAGAAGGCTTTCAGCATGCTGCAGAGTTGAATGATTTTAATGCAAAATGAAGATGCACATTAACCTTAAAAAAATCAATAACTGAGCCAGACCATCATGCCCATTTGTCCTGCTCTCAGCAGTGAATTTAGTGGAGAACTCACTGGGAGATAGGGAAAGCAAATGTGAACTGAGCTGGAAGACGGGGTCAGTGTGACTATATGACTGTTTTCTGATGAAACAGATTCAGGTAGTCCATGTAGTAAAGCTACCCTTTAGTGTGACCTTGACTCTTTCAAATTTGGTTTGAACTCAGCTTGGGAAAGAGGTACAGATATCAAATAAAATTGCCACAACTGTTATAAATATGCGGTTTTGATGAGAGGAAGGAGCCCAAGCCATCCAGAGCCTTTGCTGAGACTACAGGGACATATAGAAGTGCCCCAGCCAGTGAGAAAGGCTTCCTACAGAGTCTTGAGTAAACCCCAGAAACCAGATGCAGGAAAAACTGAGCTTTTCTAGTTCTAGTGTTCAGAGCAACTTATTTCTTTTTTTCTTTTTTTCTTTTTTTTTTTAAGTGTAAGTACAGATATTGTGAAATCTTACTCTAAAGTAAATATAATACGGTCATTATATTCTTTTTAAGAAGGTTGAAATCGGGATGTGCCAGTTTAGCAAAGTAAGCTTTCAAAATGGCCATGTCACTTTTTATTTTAGCTGAGTGCTTCAAAAGCTATTGAAATAGCTGTTACCTTCTGTCCTGGAAACTGTCAGAAACCTATAAATAAACAAAATAATACAGGAGCAGGGAAAAAATGTAATGTCAGCAGTTAATGTTGTTATTAATTCTGTTTCTTTTGTTTTCTTTCTTTTTTACAGTGTATCCTACTCAGTGCATGTCTCTGAGGATTACCCAGGTACAGTGCAACATTCCTGTCCATGACATACATATGCATGTTATTGCAATTTGCTATATTCAGATGAGAATGTCTGAAAGGGTGTTGATGTCTTTCAGGCACATCCTTGTGCTAATCATTTTCCATGAGCTAGTATATTTTCACAGTCATTTCTCCTTTTCAGGCTTCATTTATCAGCTAGGTCAGGGTGAGAAAACCTGGTTCACAAGTTTACAGAGACTGGAACTTGTGATGCTTTCCGTGTCTGCAGCCAACAGTGATAGGAGTGAGAAAGTGCCCAACTCCTCTTTGGCATGGTAGATAAAGCTTGATATTTCAAGAGGCTGAGCAGTCTGACATAGGGCCAGCAAAGCACTTCTGCATTAGACCTTAATGAGACTACTCACATTCTTGAAGTCAAGCCTGTGGACTTGTATTGATGCTTCTCGAGTCTGTTGGAGCCAAGGGTTTGTGTATGGGTATGTCTTTGATAACGTAAGCTTGCAAAGCTGTTCCCCGCTGCTCAGTCATGCCTCCCTTTTACACTCTGAACTGGGTTGGCAAAAGCTTTTGTGTAACCGTGTGGTCAGTTTAGATGAGGGGAGTTATTCATATGCAAGACAACAAGGCAAGAGCAAAAGCTAGTTTTTGGCTAGCTTATTTCCCTGATTTACTGCACAGATACTTCACGTGGCACTGAGGTAAGCAGAGTGGGAAGCAAGGATGAGGGCAGACAGGTGCTGTGCAAGTAAAGGTATCTGGTATTACTCTTGGATTGCACCACATTGTGTATTTTGCACATGGGATTAGTTAATAGTGTAAGTACCATGAATGATATGCAACCCTCTGGCCTTTTTTGATCTTTATCCATAACAGCTCTATGATATTTCTGAAGCAAATACTTCTTGTTTCTTTTAGAATCTCTGAAGAAGTGAGGCTTTGATCTTCACTGATAAGCAGTCTGTCCAAAACATCAGTGTGTTTGAAGCAGATATAGAGAGAAATTGAGATCAACAGTGATGCTAATACAATGGATTATGTGAAATAATAACAAACTTAATGAGAGATGGGGGTTTTTAATCGATAAAAACTGGAGGGAAGACTGCTACTAATAATAGTCTTTTCAACATGTAGTAAGGGGAGAGACTGAGATTCATAGTACACGCAGTCATACCAGTGATAACTTGATTTACTGATTACACTATTTACCTGACAATGAACAGAGGGACAAACAGTTGAACAAAATCTTCATTGTATGTTATTAATTTGTTTTATTAAACATCACAAAACTTGATCTCTGGAAACCCCTGACTAAGTGGCAATCACTGAACCAGCAGTTACACCCACGGTACATGAGTTCTCATCTCCTGGCAAACTCTTCTGTCTGACATGCCTCAAACTTCCCATACAAATGCTATTTGCAGCATGTCCTGATAGCCTGAAAGCCTGAGTGACTGTGGTGGCTCTAAAGCCTAATAATATTCTCTGCCATCATCCCCTATATTTTAAAGCCAGATAGAATTTGAACATTTTACACTGCAGCTAACTTGGGAGGCAGGGGGTGTGTGTGTGTGTGGTGTGAACCAGCTGCATATGTTTACTGATTAAAATCTAACCCTTCAAGTCTCTGGAAGACCTGATTTTATTTGTATCTCAAGCTTTTGCAGGATGTTTGTTTGCTTTGTGATGAAGAGGTGATTAGTGTGTTAGGAATGATAACGACTTTGCCATTTTACAGCTGTGGTCCTAAAAATACTTATTTTGAATTGGTGAGCCAGATTCTTTGTCTCTGTCATAAATCTCTAACTTAACATTACTGCTAACTGTGGCTCTTTTTTCTAGCAGGTATTTTAAGGGATGTTTCAGGGACATGTCAGGGTCAGGTGCAATGGTGTCAAGTCTAGGAAGCTCTGTGCTGATGTCCCCAACTGGAAAGTGATCTTGAAGTATTGTCACTAGTTGATAAAACAGCACGTGCTCATCGAATTTCTCACAGGATAAATCTTTGCAGATCAAGGTTTAAGTCCATTACTGTGTAGCTATACCAAAGTTATATTCTTTGAAGATTAAGACTGTGTAATACACAGTGGAACAAATTTGGAAATCCAGGAGAAGGCTGTTAGAGTTGATCATCATAGAATCATAGAATGGTTTTTACTGGGAGAGATCTTAAAGACCATCTAGTTCCAACCCCCCTGCCATGGGCAGGGACACCTTCCACTAGACCAGGTTGCTCAAAGCCTCATCCAACTTGGCCTTGAACACTTTCCTTAGGGAGTGGGCAGCCACAGCTTCTCTGGGCAACCTGTGCCAGTGTCTCACCACCCTCACAGTAAAGAATTTCTTCCTTATGTCTAACCTAAAACTACAATCTTTCAGTTACACTATTTCATTACCCCTTGTGCTGTCACAACACTCCCTTGTAAAAAGTCCCTCCCCAGACCTATAAGGTCTCCCTGGAGCCTTTTCTTCTTCAGGCTGACTAACGCCAACTCTCTCAGCCTGTCCTCATGAGGAAGGTGCTGCAGACCCCTGATCATTGTGGCCTCCTCTGAACCTGCTTGAGCAGGTCTGTGTCCTTATGTTGGGGCCCCCAGAGCTGGACGCAGGACTCCATGTGGGGTCCTAAGAGAGCAGAGCCAGAGGGGCAGAATCACTTCTCTCCTCTCGACCTGCTGGCCACACTTCTCTTGATGCAGCCCAGGATAGGGTTGGCTTTCTGGGTGGTGAGCACATTTCTGGCTCATACCTAGTTTTCCATCCACTAATACCCCCACACTCTTTCTCAGGGCTGCTCTCAATCCACTTTTGACCCAGCTTGTATTTGTGCTTGGGATAGCCTTGACCCATGTTCAGGACCTTGCACTTGGCCTTGCTGAACTTCATGAGGTTCACATAGGCCCACCTCAAACCTGTCTCTGTATGGCACATCCCTTCCCTCCAGAGTGTCGACCGTACCACACAGCTTGGTGTCATCAGCAAACTTCCTGAGGATGCAGTCAGTCCCACTGTTCATGTTGCCAAAAGATGTTAAACAGCGTCAGTGTCAACACTGGCCCCAGAAGAATAACACTCAGCACCGCTCTGCATTTGGACATTGAGCCGTTAAAATAAATTGCAAGTGCATGCAATAAATATATGAAAATAGAAGAGATTAAGTTACTATACAAATGATGTTCATTCAGCCAAAAGTGATACCACCACAAGTAAATTTTAGATACTGTAGGAAGAGCTTGGGTAATACATATACTCTAGTTGCCTGCATTGCTGTTATGTATGCAGCATCACCACTTCTTTGGCACTGATAACGGTGTGTAGCTATTGCTAAATTGCTTCATAAAGCACCAGAAGATTACAAACAGCTGAGCATTAAATCATACCTATGGGAACTGTAATATGACATGACAAATTTCAATAATGGAAGGTATTTGAAAGTTTCATAATTATGAGTGAAAGCTAAAATACGCTCACAGAGGCACACTGAAGAACTTAATAGGAAGAGTGTTGAGACAGTAATGTCTTGACATCACTGAAATTGTGAAAATATCACTGAAAATTTTAGAGGCAGGTAATAACAGTTCCAGCAAAATATTCCTGTAACTATTTTCTCATAACATTGACACAACTGGGCAAAGTAATGCTCCTAAAGAGCAGTTACAGAATATAACATCAATGAGTAGACTAAAGTCCCATTAATATGAGTGGATCATGACTCCAGTGAGAACCATTACAGCAGAAACCATTTTGCTAATGAATATATGTTCAGAGTGATACATGTTGACTGCCATAAACTTGTAGAACTGCTGTTTATCCTAGTGATTTGTGGGTTACACACATGTTAACAGAAACATCCTTTTCTTAGACCTCATTAGATTGCAGCAGAGATGGAGAGAACAAGTTTGGAAGCAAGTGGTTTGCTGCATCGCTCCTCTAAGCCCAGGCTCTACGTCCTCCACTTGAGAGGTGTTCCTGGGTGTAGTGTGTTAGAAAGTGGATGCTGAAGAAAGCAAACCAAAACCAGTATCTTAATTTCAGGATTCATTAGATTGATGGAAGGAAAGAAAAAAACCCTAATGGCTGCCAGATAGAAAACAAAAATTTGGCAGGGGGAATCATACTATCCAGCTGCCAAGAAAGAATGACAATGGACATAAAAATATAATTAAAATCTATAAAACCTGCGCAGCCCTTTTTTCCATATATGTATATCTTAGTAATTGTCTATTCTGTACAGCACATATTGTTTTTCCTAATTTTTCATACAGCAATAAGTTGTAGCACATTTATTTCCTTTCTGCCTTCCATATATATGTGGTGGTAGGTGTATTTACAGCCAAATGCTGGCCTCTGTTATTTCAGCTCATTTGACTCTATAGCAGTAAGTCCCACTCCCAAACCTGGTAAAGGAATGGGCCTGTGTTGTGTATGCCCAGAGCCATCCAGCTGGCTGTCACTGAAATGATGACAGCAAGGTGGAACATGCAAACAGACATCAGGGGGTTGCAGAGAGAGTGCGATGCAGCTGTGCTGGAGGCATAGCTCACAGCCTGTCCTGCCGACAGACAGAAGTGGGAGAAGGAGTGAATGCTGGCAGATGGCTGAAGGGACCCTGTTTTATTCGCACGGTGCTGTGGCTCTAAAACACATGCCTGTGCCAAGCGCATAGCCCAGCAGACGCAGACTGAGCTGGTGGAGCAGGTTGCTGTGCCCACTGGAGTGCAGTGCCCAGGGAAAGGTGGTGTCAGCCGCCTGCAGCAATTGCCTGCGTGGAATGTATGTATGTCGAGCTGAGTGCAGATCCCTCAGATTAACTCGTGGGACAGCGTGGGAGTGGAAGTAGGCGAAGGTGTGGGATAGTGTCAGACTTGGTAGATATGTGTGAATGTGGCAGAAAGGCTGTTTCACAGACAGCAGTCTGGGAAAGCCCCACGCGCCTGCCTGTGTTCAGCAGCGCAGCTGCGAGTTTGAAAAGGCAGTGTGGCACACCTGTAGAAGAAAGTGGTGACAGCACCAGGGCTTCATCTTGATACAGGCTGCTAAGAACCTCTGTAATACAAAAGGATAACGTTACTTAATTTACTGCTCAATTAATATTAACATCTTTTAACATTTCACTGGAAGCACTGCGGCCAAAGGGTTTGAGATTGCAGCAGTACGCTTAAAATTACCTGTGAGTTCACACACTTTGCTGATGTAAGACCAGAGTTTTCAGAATTATGATAAATCAAGTACTTGTTTCAGTTCTCTTATTTGCCTTTTTATCTGTGATTATCTTAGTTTTCAGCCTTTCTCCTCTAGAACATAAGTTTCAATTCATCCCAGATCAGTAGGAAACAAAATATTATTACTTTCATAGACAGTTTAGCAATTCATGCAAAATTAGCTTCTGCAGACACTACATAAAAACTTGCTGTTCCTTGTATTGTTCCTAAACATTTAGTTGGAAAGTGTGGTGGTTTAAGCCCTGCCGGGACTGGAGAGCACGTTGCTGTTGCCCCTTCCCCACCCTCAGCTGGTCGGGCTGGAAGAGGCACAAACCCCGGGTTAAAATAAGAAGAAATTTAATACAACGGTGTGATAAACAATCTGAACAACAGCAGTAGCAATGATAACAACAATGAACAGCAATAACAGTGAACAAGACAAAAGATATACAGAGAAGTACTGCAAATGGTCAGGGAACAGCTTCCCGCCACCAAGCCCACCAAAGAAAAAAGTTTCTGCCTGGACCTGACCTGAACCCGGCTGGAGATCCCTTCCCCCTCTCTCTCTGCTGGGGAAACTTAACCCTATACTAGCTGAACCAGGACAAAAGCCAAAAATAATCCCTAGATTTTGTGAGAAAATTTGGGATAGGCTTTCCATACTCATATCCACACCTAACACTTTTTTGAAGTGGGAGGAATTTATTTTTTTTTCCTGGATCAGGCACAAGAAAGGTTATCCACTGATTAGAAGATACTTCAAACAACCTTTATGTGACTAGGCAAAATGAGGCACAGGTATTTTGCATAACGGACTAGTAACACCCAGCTCTGAATACAACCTTCACTCTGCAGAGCAGATGTAGCTTGAGTTTTAGTGTCAAGCATAACAAAAAGCATAGAACAAATCATCATTTTGGAAGAGTTGGCTCAACCCCCCATAAGCCTTGTGAGATGGTTCAGAGCAGCACTTGGTGTGGTTTATGAAAGCCCTGACATCAGACTCCAGGGGCTTGCTTGTATAAAATTTGCGTCTTACTCTTCCATCCTTTTGGGATTTTTCTTTTGTAGCAATCTCAAAAGAAAAGAAAAAAAAAAAAAAAAAAAAACTTCTGGGGAGTGGTTTGTTATGGTGCAAGGTGGATGGGCAATGTGGGAAAGAACTGGCAGAGCACAACTGGACTTCACCATGCAAGGTGTTCTTCTTTCGTAGATAACACTTATGTTTCCAGTTCCGATAATGATGAAGATGTGTTAGTTACGACAGAGCCGATTCCAGTAATTTTCCACCAAATCGCTACAGGTAATCTTATGTCCCAAGTGTTGTATCACGTTCATATTTTGTAAGGAAAGACAAGATGTTACCTTCACTTAAAGGGACGTATGTTAATTTGTGCAATTCTACAGTTTCTCACAGTTGTGCTGTAGTAAACTGTCCTACATTTCAGAATAGAAGAAATTAAAATATTTCTTTTGGGCATCACCATGATTGTCTAAGCAGAATGTATTCTACTCTTTCAATGTCTTGCAGTCTGCGCTAAAGCAAGTCTCCTTGAATACAGTTAGAGGTGCTTAATACTTCCCAGTTACAAGTTTTCATGCTCACTGGCTTAGAATTTCACCAAATCTTCACCACTGGGGATGAAATAGTCTGTAACTACCATCACCTCTGATGAATTATTTCAGGAAATGTCAAACAAAAGGGTTCAGCTGTTTCACTAAATTAGATTTTCCCAGTGATTTTGGGAACCTCTCACTTGAAATTATTTCCCTACTTTCAAAAAGTATTTGATGCATGAAAGGGCATGCTTTTCAGACATATAGGCACATTTATAAAATATATAATAAAGATTTGTGTATACACTGAAGAGACTTTTTAGATATTAGCAGACAAATTCCCTGATGATTTCAAGCTGCAGGAGAAACTGCATACAGCAGTTCTTAATTCTGGCAGTTCTTCAGATAAGAACACTTGACTTTGCAGTCTTTTTATTATTATTACAATGCTATAGGGCTTTTTTTGCATAACACAGAATCAGTTTGAATTCCACTGAAAAACCAATATGATCTGCAGTCTCTGATTTCATTTATACCAATGTAAATCAAGAATAATTTTACTGAAGTCAGTGCAGTGGCACCCAAACAAAAACTGGCCATTATAATCAAAAGTTTTGATAGATTTTACTTGCAAATATTTCTGTAATTTAAAAAGAAATAAAGCCTGTCATCTAAAATAGAATTAAAACCTATGTTTTGTATAGAAGGTGATCTGATTTAATTTTGCTAAGGGGTTTTGATTTTTCATTCTTTCATAAGGTATACAAAAGTAATAAATGACACTAAATTGTAAATCACAGATTGGGAAGAACAAATCTCCTAGGTAGACCATCTGAGTTTCATTTCACAGTTAAAAATATGAGTGTTCTGGGATGTAGGGGCTTTTTAATTTTAGACTGTTGTGTTGTTAACTCTTAGATGCTTTACATATCTGTAACTTTTTGTTCCTTAAGTATTTCAAGTCTGCATATGCAAAATTATTTCACATTTTTCACAGATGTTCCCTATTTTCCCTTTTCTTTTAAGAATTAAGAAAAACCAGTGATGTCAACTACTGCTTATCCATAAAATCAAAACTACAAAGGGAGAATGGAGAAGTATGTATTTGTTGTATGCCTATTTTAAGCAGAAGTTATTTTAAGAAACAACAGAAAATAATGAAATATGAATGTTTACCATAGATTTCCTATCAAAAGTATGCTTGTGTGAACTGTATACATTTACACGTTTTAGATGATAATTGTAGTTCTCTGGGTTTCATGTGTGGGTTAACCAGTGAATCACTTAGCTGGCATAGGGATGTTCCCATCCTAGGAAATACGCTTTTGACGTTTATTTAATTTTTTGTTCAACAGTGGTGTATAGACTCTGTCTGCCCCAAAAATACAACTCTCCTGGAGAAGTAGGCTATGACTCCATTACCTTTTAACCTACTCTTGCGCATAGGACCACATCCCATTTATGAGCTCACTGCTTCTTTGTGTGGCCTACAGCAGCCCCACTGGAGGCTTTGGACTTCTGCATGACTCTAATCGCCATAAATAGTGTCTGGAGTATTAAGGCCTTTCAGTTACGGTTCTGTTTGTGCTGTGCCTCTGGCATGGGTCCCTGACCAGTTTCACAGAGACATTAATTCAAGAAGGAAGTGGCAGTAATGTGAAGTCTACAGGGCTTGACAGTCTTATGGGTGCAAAGAAGATAACACATAGGCTCCTACCTCAAGCAAGAAGTCGAGCGTTGTATCAGGAATTCAGATGCTTGACTTAAACACTACCTTTGGTAAGGCTGGTTGCTGAATTTCTTGATGATTGCCTTTTAGGCTCCAATCTGTATTTGATCCTGGAAAGGGGAGATAAGCATGCCCAGATAAACTAGTGTGTATGGTTGGTTTTTTTAACAGATGAAACCTAATTTGATATAAAAAGCTGCGCTGGAAGTACTTTGCTTCTAGTGCCTCATTCGTTCAGTAAACGTTAGAAAAAAATCAAGTGCAGGAAGAATTTACCAATTTGATTAAAAGCCTGAGACACATTTAGCTTTTATTAGACAGAGTTTGAGCTTTTATTTTGTTTTTAGTTGAATGAGGTGTTTAAATATGAAAGTACTGAAAAAGAAATCCTAACACTGACCATTTCTGTTGGCTAGACAGAGGCTTGATTAGGATAGTATGGGTTTGTCACTATTCTAATGTGAGAATTTAATTTATCTTTGTTTTGTGTTGAATTTTTATTCAGTTGAGTTCTGTTTTAACACAGACTTCCCTGTGAGCTAAGGTTATTCTAAACCAAAGAAGTCTGAAGTCACTTTGTTTCTTTTCAGTGAAGTAGAAGCAGAAATTACTTTTATGCCTTTGAGAAAATTGTTGTGAAATTGGCTGAAATACAGTTTTTGTCATATGCATATGAATAGAGCAGGAATTTAGAGGCAAAGGTAGGGAAATATGATTAGAATATATGACCATAGAAACTGGTGATGTGTATATTTGACATTTATGAATATATGGGATTTAGGGGTAACTTCTATTCTTTGATTCATACATCTGATTTCTCTTTCATTGTGGCAGTTCCGTGCCAGACATAAATACAAAATAAGCAATAAGTACATTGTGTTCAGGTTGAAGTCAAAAATTACGATTTTAGCAGGTGTTGTTTAGGGGATCCTTGTCAATATAGTGCCTAGTAATAACACATGGATTGTGGGAAACAAGAATTAATATTGTCAAGCAATTACATAATTATAAGTAAAGGTTCCATTGGTGGGAAGCAGAATATAACACTTCAGCTCATGCTGAGTTGCAGTCTGTACCAGGATCAGTTCTATTTACTTGAGTGCAATTATTCACAGAGCAGCATATTTAGAGCAGGTTTTACTTGGGCAAGAATATTACTTTCTAATCCTTAATTTTCAAAGTCTCAGAATGGAGCTAGTAAAAAAATTAAGTTTGAACTTTTCTGGCAACAGGCTGGAACTTCTGTTAAAAATAATAATTAATCAGCAACATGTCAGTTTTTCACAGAAAGGAAGTTAAGACATACCATGCTCAAACTTGAATTATTTTCTTAAATTATTGGCATTGATTTACCAGAATAAAGTATATTAAAATTTTATTAGGTCACTGGAACACCAAATTAATTAAGTCCAGAACCTCTCTTGGCAGGTAAATTACTATTGTTTAGCAGAAGCACAGAGCGAAGTATCCCCATATAGTCTGCTGAATTCCTCAGTTCTTTTAAATAGCCCACTGTGCCTGTAGCCAGACAAAATATTCTCTCTACAGCATATATTCAGGGTGTTTTTACGTGCCCAGTTAGTAGGTGATTGCTCTGTCTGATATTTCACTGTTCTTAAAACAGACCCTTAATACTTTCTTTGGAAAATGTTAGCAAAAAATCTCTTAATAAAGGGTGCTATGAGCTTATTTGTAAAAGCGTAATTCCTGTAGTTATAAATAGAACTATAAATGCAAGACAGCGTATAATTTGTATCACTGTTAACTCTTCTTTTTCATTAAGGAGTCAAGGCACAACAGCACAGTTGAAGAGGACTCTGAAGGAGATAATGATTCTGAGGAATTTTATTATGGCGGACAGGTAACAGGAAATTTTTGCACACGTTTCAAGAAATTAATATTTGAAAACCTTCGTTATTCATTCCATTATAAATTTATGACAATAATTAATTTCTTATATTTGTTCAACATCAGATAGAGTGCTATGTGTATATATATGTAGTATTTTATAGTGGAAATATTGAGTATGTTATACTGTGTATTATATCAAATGTAAAATAATTAGTTTGTTTACATTTGCAAAGCTGTAAGAATAGAAGAAGCCAGTACTTTTCAGAACGTTTGAAAATAGAAGCCAGTTGTTTATTTGCTGGAAATAGATATTCATGCTTTAAAGCTTCTTCCATTATTGATACATATGGGAAGTCAGTCTGGATCCAAATCTGTTTCCTTCTGGAGGACTAACATTTTGTAAAGTCAAGACCACTGCAATTTAATGGTAAAAATTTTATTACAACACACTTTTGGTCTAGGCAATAGTCCATTCTTTTTCTGAGCTCTACAGTTATACTTGCCTTGAAAAATGGTGCATATTTTTAGATGAATGTACTGGTCTGTGCGTTTCCCTCAGCAGAATTAGTTATTATTACATTCTCTTATATACTGGGAAATGAAATCTCTTCATCTCCTTTCCTTTTGCAATGTCAATAGAGCACTTCACGCTGCTAGTCTCTTTGTTCAGTTTTTTCTTACCTTTTAGTCTAACTATTGCCCCAAAGGAATCATTCCTCACTTAGGTTATTAAAGCTGTTTATTTCGATGGACGTTTTAACGAATTATAGTTCCTGTTTATGAAAGTTGTCACTGCCTCATCCTTGAGGCTGAAGCCATCCGTGCCCTGGGTGCAGAGCCAAGGCTGCAGGAGCATGCCAGTAGTGCCAGCCGGTTGGGTCAGTGCAGAGAGCGTGGGATGCTGATGAGAAGGACATCGCCAAGCCTCTTATCTTGCAGAGCCAACAGCGTGGTGGGATTTGAACACAAAATACATGTTGAGGTGCTTTACTCTAAAAAAAAGCACCCCCCCGAAAAGATATTAAAACTGATATTGAAACTGGAATTGAAAGAATGTATTTGCAGTGTCATGTTCACTTTAGAAATGACTGCAGGAATTGCCTCCCTTCAGGGACGCTGACTCCTACAGCCCCACAGAGCACTGGGCAGGACTATTCTTCAGTGCAAAGAGCGATGCCTTATTTTAATCTGCCTGAGAGGAAAAATCTTCTGCTTTTGCCCTGTAGTGATAAGTTTGTGTGTACTGGCTCCATTTTTCAACCCCGCAGAAAGGGCAGTAACCTCAACATGAAGGAAAAGGCAGAAAACAGCTGGGAGTGCTTATTCCTTGAGTCAGTGCTAGTATGTTTGGTAAAGGATGCCTGCCAGTGTTCAGATGAATGAATAAATATTAATGCTGCCTATGAGATATGAACACAGAGAGCACCGCATCATTTTGCAAGGTGTAAAAATGCTGTGTAGTAGGCAGTATTGGTTAGAATTTAGTTGCATTATATTTGAAGGCAACATTATATTGCATTGACTTTTTTTTTTTAGGTAATACATTTAATTGAAGGAATTATAACTGGCAAAAAATGTAATTATATTAGCAATAAAAATGAAATATCAGATGATTGTGAATGTCTTGAGTGCAGAATATTCAAAAAGCAAAATAAGGAGAATAAACAAAGACATCATAGAAAGTATATGTAACGGGAGAAAAAATGAAATTTTAAATTAAAAATTTCATGGTCAAAAAGACAAAATTCTAAAGAAGACAAAAGACAAAATTCTAAAGAAAATATTGGTGACTCAGAAAATAAATAGCAAATTAGGTAATGAGCAAAGCCCATCAAGAGATAAAGAAAAGTCCTTTTTCAAATAAAGTTATTGTATGAGTTACTACCTGGTGAGCACCAGGTATATTGGGAAGACAAAATAATTGACTCTATATATGGGGAACAAGCAAGGCAAGCTGCTGCATTTGAGACAAATGTGTCCTGTGCCCACAGAGAAATGGGACAAAAAAATTGACTTCAACAACTAGAGGGAAAAGATGGTAGTGTAATTGTGTGACAATACAGTTGGAAAAGATGGATAATTCTTAACATTTCTAAGTAATTACAGCTGGAAAGACAAGAGAGCATCTGATGATGAAACAAGGACTATGGAAGATGGTAAATAGTATTTGGTGGGCAGTGAAAACAAGATACGACCTTTTGCTCATAAATAAAATGTTTGTATCCACTTCCTAGGCACCTACTTGTAATCCTCCCTAAGGATTTAATGGATAAATACTTTAAAGGAGCTAAGTGATTCAAGAGCTTAAGCCCTATTGATTTTCAATGGGATTTAGGTTTGTAAATCGCTTAATCTCCTTTAAAAATGCAACCTTTTGTCATTATGTGGGACAAAATAATCTGAATCAGGTCTCAGATTAAAAACTGAGACTTTCTAAACACAGACGTTTCAGACACAGCAAAGTTATCAGATTTTTTAGCTTTTCTATTCACTTTCTATGGGACTCTTGGTTAATTCTTGTTTTGAATCTTTATCTTCTACATTTGCAAATGAGAGCAGGAGATTGAAACAGTAATACCACTGCCTTTGGCGCTCTCACTCCCTCTCTCTTGTGTTTCAGTTACAGAACATACTCACAAATGCAGATATACAAAACTGACAGTCTCCTCTGCATACATCAGTATGAGTGTGGCACTAATTCAGGGGTGGAAAATACCATACTGTGCTCTTAGAATTTGCCAAAACAGTTGTTTGTTTTCTTTTTGAGTTCATAACCTCTTAACTGTCAGAAAATAAATTGCAGAAAGCATTAAATTGAGCATTTCAGTGTTCTGGATAGTGTTCCTTTTAGTTTTAACTATTATTGATACATAAGACTGATTAAAAAAATGTGGTTTAGGACTGACAAATGTGTCAAGTACACCATGCTATGATTTGTGAAATGATTGCTGTGCTCTTTTTGGAAGCAGGACAGCAATTATTTATGCATCATTAAAGAATTCATCTTTGAGTAATGAGCATGGCAGAAGGATTGGTTTGCTCCTACCTAAAGTGAAAAAAAAATATATATAATAAAGGTTTTCTTCCCATGCTCTTCTTCTACTTGGAAAATTGTCCTGACATGCCTGCCCAAATCAAGAGAGGGATATTTGGCTTATACCCTTCTGATCATGAATATCTTCGATATCTCTGATAAACACATGCCCATGCTATGCTGATGAATTCTGTGCCTTGTATTTGAAGAATTCTAAGTCTAATCAGATTATTCTTTGCTAATTTTCACATGTAAAAATCGATCAGATGATTATTCTTTTAATTCTATTGAAATTTATTTAATAAGCTTGAAAAGTACATCTCTAGATGTCAGAGCTGAAAGTGTCACAGCGCTGGTCTCCTACAGATTTGGATGGACAAACCACAGATACATTTCTGCAATAGCAAGAATTCTCTGCAGGAATTCCTGTATAAGGAAATATATACATATGTCTAAAGGGATAAATACACTCTTGTGCTTTGCTCTCTGAATTTGTCAAAGGTACAAGCCAAATCCTACTCTCATTTCTGAATCTGTCCAGATCTAGGGAGTTCACTGGCTTTCATGGAATTACTGTAAAGAAGTAGAATTAAGTTCACAAAATCAGGAGCATATTGCTTAATGAGAAGGTAGTAATAGACCATTAATAGATTTTTACAAGCCTAAAGAGGTGTTTTGGTCCTTGTAGAAGACAGGAGGATATTAATTATTTTGACTTCATACAGACCAACCAAACCAGCTCACAAGTTCTGCATTGTATTGTAAGCACTAACATATCGTTTTCCATATTTCATGTAGAGTTTGAAAAAATTGAGATGATGTCTAAATAATTATTTCTTTACACCTTCTCTGGTAAAATACTTAAAATGGGAACATGTTCTTTAATATTAAATTTCTTTTCATCTGATATAATCCCACTGGTGGATAGAATACAGCCAATGGATAGACTGAAAATATAATTTAGATGCTGAAACACTTGGTGTATAGAATAGTTTTTATGCTTCGCTCATTGAGCCCTATCCATTCTGTGTGTAATATATATGAAAGTGTAACAACAAGCAAGAGGGAGCAACCCTTTGTCCTGTAGTGGTTGGACTGGGATGTTATGACTGGGGAGACATGATTCTCCTGCTTAACAGTCTTAAAATGCCCAAGTGTCCCAGAACAAACCCCAGGACAAGACAGGACAGAGGGGTGAGTCTTTGAAACTTCTCTTCCCACAAACAGGAGAGGGACCCTCAAAAAATTCTGATACAGAAGTGCCTGCTTTGCAAATAAATCTCTTTGCTTAGCAGAGCTAGACCACCTGAGTGCTTCAGCTTACCAACAGTGTCCTTTCTGAGCATGGCATTAAGGAATCTATGCAGCATGTTTTACAGGAGGAACTTTCAAGAGCCTAGATCAGGTGCCAGTAATGAAATAAATAAAAACTCCTAGGATATTTTTTTCCCTTGGTAGGTTAGCTATGATGGAGAACTTCACAAGCACCCGCAGCTGGAAGCTGATTTGACAGCAGTGAGAGAGATCTATGGACCTAATGCAGTATCTCTCAGGTATGTCATTGACCTTTCACTATTGTGGAACCTTAAATGTTTTGGAGATTGAGTTCCTTGCAGACCTTCCCTGACTACCAAAGCACAATTCTCTTGTGGTGATTACTGCATATTGTGTGACAAAAGGAAGGAGCACTGCTGGCTAGCAGTAATGGTGGTTTTATTTTTTCTTTTTTTGTGGTTGAGTACTGATACAACTGGCTGTGCCGAGAACAAGCCCTGAAAGCCAGTTCTAAAACATTGTCTTTTGCAGTTCATCCAGTGTTTGATCAGTTGATGCATTTTGTTGAAAATTACTACTCAGCATTACTCTAAACCCTTGTTAAACTCCTTTTCTATCATACTCCATCACTTACCCTGGAGGTAAGCAAGAGGAATGATAAGAGATCTCGTAAACATTTTCCCTTGGGAAAGACTGAAGGAATTGATTTTGTCTAGTCTGGAAAAAAGAGGAGAAGACATACAACAGTTCTTCAAAAAAAGCCATGCAGATTGGAGGAATAATCAAATGTTCTCTATTATCATGAGAGAGACAGTAAGAAACTGTCTGTGTTAGCAGCAAACAAGAATTTTGTTAGACTTTAGGAAGGCTTTCCTATTGTGGGAGTCTATCCCACACAGGGAAGTGGTGGAACCTCAGTCAGAGGTGGATTGCAAAGAGTAATTACACAAAAATTCTTTTGGGTGTATATAAGCATGCATAATTCCTCCATAGGGCATAGCTGTATGATACTTTTAGTACCCTTCGGGTCTTTTATAACTTAATTTTCTGTCTATGTAATCTTAATAATTTCTTAAAAATAACAGGTAGGCAAAATATAACAGAACTGTCAGATGTATTACAAAGAAAATATCAAAGTTGTTGTACAAAAGAAGTAATAAAATACAAAGAAGATAATAACTTTAGCCATATGTATATTGCACGTAACAATTTCCATTAACCTCTAAACAATAAGCTCTGCTGTATTTGTCTAAGAAGAGAGAGCATGTCTACAACTATGGTGTAGTATACCTTTTCAAATTAAGTGGAAATTTCATTACATTTCAAGAACCTCAGGAATTGAAATCCAAATAGTTGTATATGGATTTAGGAAATTAATGAGATAAATGTTTAGTTGCCAAACTGATAAATGAAATTGAGCATACCTTGATAATAGGCTCCCTCAGGCTCCTAAAACTGAAACATGATGTGTAACCTTTCAAAAACTTTAATGCATCTAATTAATTGAATCAACTGTCTCATTGGAAGCATTGTGATCTCCTTGACCCCACTGTAGCAGAAATTGGCATCTGTGGCTACTCTTGGCATGTGGAAAACTTTAATGCTTCTTCCATTCTGTTGCATTTGAAAATGCTTATAAATTCTTTGAAATGAGAAAACCAGCATCAAGCATTCAGTTTCATCCCTCTCCTGCAGCTCCACTTCTCTGTCGAGAGAGAAGTCTGTCTGACAGTGACACACACTAAGATGCATATTTCCTAGACAGCTGACCTTCTTTTAGTAGTCTCTTGCTGTCACAGAGTCAACTGTACATATAAAAGTGAAATGCCTATACCTGCATGCTTTTCACCACTGCTGTTTGAAATCTGTCCACCAAAGCTGTGAGAAAGACCTCTGGTCCAACTGATCCAAACTTTTCATTATCAGTATTGCTTATGCATTGATGGACAGAGGACCTCTGGGAGCTTCAGAATCAAGAGTCATTGTAGCCATGGAACCATTGTACATGGAACCATGTTAGGCAGCAGATCATAAGCTGCAGGTGCTGGGAGATAGCATGATTTCTTTCTGCCATTCAACATTCAGAAGTAAAACTAGAGTTAGCATGATGTCAAAAATCCATTTTCTAGGGTGGTAATGGAGTAGCATAAAAGCGTTTTCCACAGTTAACTTATTTTTATCCTTTCCTTTCTTCCACTAATACTTCTGTGTTTCATTAGTTCAACTATGTTTCTGTTTAATTTATAAAATGATGCTTGTTCACAGCCCTTTGAATCTGTCATGTGAGCAACACCAGCCTGTGTTCATGGATATTACTTTGTAGTTCATAACAATTTGTTCTCTGGATCTTCTGGAAAATTCACAAAAAATCTGAGGCCACTGTAGGATGTCTGTAGGATAGTGGCTGAACTATTCAGTGGGTGGAGAATTGCACTGTTTCAAAGTCAGGTCTTCACTGAGCTGTAGGAGGTCAGCAGGCACCTGTACAGCTCTGGGTGAGCAGACCCTGGAGCAGCAGTCAGGACGGCTGGGAAGTCTCCAGGTAACACAGCCCTGGCCAGCTGTTTACCTGCCCCCTGTGTGCCATGTGTGGATGCTTCTGATCCAGAGAGAGGCTTTGGACCCAAACAGAGAGAACCATTGAGATGCTGAGGCTTGATAGATTTTCCGTCCACCAAACTTCACAGGAAGTTAAAGCATTTCTAATGCTACCTAGATCCTACCATGGGCTGAGAGGCCAGTTTGGTAGGAGGTAGTTACATTCACAAAAATATTTTTGTATTTCAAAATTACCTTATCAACTTATGCACAACTGGCACTGTGCACTGTCTTAGTCTAGTTTAATAAAAAAGCGTGTAAGTCACTGTGAGAGCAAGCATATAAATGCAGTGTAAAGAAAAAAGCCTAGTGGCTAGAAGCTAATCTGTGAAAAATTGAGATTGCACTTTTACAGTATTGTCCAGTTAAGTATTTTAAATTAAAAGGAAAAAAAATTTTTATTTAGGTGTATAAATGAATATTTTCTAGGCCTATTTTTCAGAAGTTTTCAAATATGTTGGGGAAGAGCAATCAGAATGAGTCAGAAGAGGTAGAAAAGTCACACTTTAAATGTAAAATTTCAGATGGCAATGAAGCTCACATGTGCGTTAAGTTAAATCTGAACCTTGAGGATTCCAGCATTACTACACATAACAGATAAAATAAGGTATCTATTGCCTTGAGCGCATTACAGGGCAGTCTTTATGTTTTGACAAACAATTGCTAGAACGTATGAAGCAATCCCACAGGTAAAACATGCCACCCTCTAGGCTATGTTTTGTTTGTCTTCAATGATTTATCTCAAGCCTGTCCTTAGGTTACTGGCTGTTAAACTGAAATACTTTTGAAAATTAACTAGGGTTTTCTTTTGTCATAAATAGGAGCAGCATGTGACCATTATTGTTTCCTTGATTTCTTTGTGCAATACATCAGACAAAAATACACTGCAGCAATGGAGAGAGAATTTGGGGGAATTAGTAGAAAAAAAAGATTTAGCCTGTTTAAGCAAGATCCACTGAAAGAAATTTTTAGTGCAGCAGATGGTCACCCACTGGGAATATTGATCCAATCTATGTAAATGTGTATTTTAGAACCATTCTTACATACAAGTTTATCCTTTATAAAATCATCCCTGATATAAGTACTCCTGGACTGAGGAGTATCTTAAAAAGGTCTAACATAATGTAATTCTTTCCTTTTAGGGAATATGGAGCCATTGATGATGTAGATATTGATCTGCATATTGATGTTAGCTTTCTTGATGTAAGTAATCTAATCACAGAATTACATAATGAACCTCAATATCCATTTAATTCTGGTACACATCAGACTCTCTAGACAACTACTGAGACTTTCCTTTTTTTGGAGACGATATTCACAAGTGGCTGTCACATTATTGATTGCTAGTCAGTGGAAAGGTTTCTTTTTTTCCTTTTATTATCACATTGTTAAAATGCTTTGCAGGCTTTTATTTACTGCATGTGTATTTCCTTTCAATCACGCTTTGTAAATGATAAATGTTTTAACTGATATCAATTAAATACTTTTTTTTTTTTTTTTTTTAGAGTCCTGGAGGGAAGAAGACCTTGGCTAGAGCTCTCCTGTGTGCTGATCAACATCTGCAGCTGATTAGGGAGAAGCTTGAGTGGCAAAGGAGACATAGGACAGTGGTGCTGTCAACTGGCAGCATGGCTTCTCTAACACTTATGCTGTCACTAACTCCACACTTACTCACCTCATCTGTGCAGTAACTTCCTGTCCTTTAGATAGAGAACACAAATTAGTGCCTTTAGGGGCACGGTTAGCTTATGCACAGATGTCATATTTTCAGGTCAGGACAGCACATAATATAGTTGTTCTTGGGCTTTTATAAAACTTAAGAAAATCTGATCATACCTTGAATTATTTTAACCAGTCATAAGGAGCAAAAGTTTCCTTTGCCCTGTGTTATGGAATGAGTGTCATTTTCATTTTTGTTTGCTCCTTTGCTTCTCAGCTTTGAAGCAGTATATCCTGATAGATGTCAGTGTGTCTGCCTGCACTGTAGATGTAGTGTTGTGTATAAACCTGCGCTCAGTTTAAATAAGCATACTCAGGAACTGGAAACAGTTTAACACTTTAGTTAGGGGCATCAGCAGGCAATAGTTTGTTCTAAGTCTCAAGTTTAAAGTGGAGTAGATATTCCACAACAGGGTAAATAAATAGGTGGTGTTTGTAACAACCCTAAGATAGAATGACAAAATGAAACAGTTTCTCGTGATGGCTAATGGTGTCATATTCTTTTTTATCTTCAACTAGGAAGAGATTGCTGTGGCTTGGGATGTGATTCGCACAGAGCCTATAATCGTGCGGTTGCACTGTTCACTGACACAGTACTTAAATGGTCCAGGTTAGTCACCTGTGTACTCTTCATGTGCCTTGTGTGGTGTCTCAGTCTGAACCATGTACTAGGTGATTATAGATACTCATTCACAAGGCCAAATCTTTGACCCTGCATGTGCTTTGATCTGCTGAGAGTAGTCCTACTGGTTTGAAATTATGCTTATATATATTTGCATGGCTAGGCCCTCAATAATGACATGGGCATCTATTTTAGACTTTCACAGGTTGATTTTCGGAACTAGTTTTCCTGGCATCCTTTGAAATGCAACTGCTTCCTCTAGGAACAAGGGTTAAGGATAAAGATCTACAGTTTCTAATAGATGATTTCCTGATTTTGGAAATCAGGTGTCGTTTGCACAGATAAGATATCACTGATAAGGTATACATAACCAGACCTGTGCAGAACATTAATATGCCCTCTTCCACACACCTTTGAAGAATCAGACCATGATATCCTTTCAGCTTCTGATTTCTATATGGCTGTGTGAGCTCTGGGAATCTTTAGATTTGAATGAGTTATTAAGTGGCAAAGCTTCCTCATGGGAGTAAAAATGGTCAGACTCCTGAAGAATCAACTGATTTTGAAGATCTGGAAACATTCATGTGCAAGAGGCAACTTCAGATATATTTTTACAGTGGGAAGTTAGAACTGAGTTGCAATATGGATCGTAACTTCCCCGGATTTGGAGGCTTCCAGTACAAGCTGTCAGCTCAGGCTTGTATCTGTGGGAGAATTCCGCCTTTGGAAAATGAATAGATATTTCCAGTCATAATATGTTTAGCAAAATATGTCCCAATGAGATTTTTTTATAGGATATGTTGCCTGCTTATGCTAGCTATAAGCTATATTCTGTTCATTCAAATAAGCATTTCATTATATCAAACTTTTTTTTTTTTCCTTGACTTTGGTCTTTTGTCTATTTTATTGCTTCAATCTTTCTAGATACACAGATCTTAAAGTATGTATTTGCCATAGCAGGTAGCAGTGTTAGTATTCAGAATGCTTCTATCAAAATGGAATTTAAAAAACAAAAAAGTATAGCAAATAAGAGAAGGTGAAGCCTGAAGAAATGATCTAGTGAAATGGGAAGTAACAGCAAGATATCTTCTGCACCATTGACAAGGTTAAAATGGGAAGCTTTGTTTCCAGTCATGCATCTGCCTGTGGGAGTGCAAGAAAGGCAAGACCAGGCCCAGAGACAAGTGCTTTGCTGATACTGGTTTTATGAGCTCAGCTGCTGTTGCAGCCATGTCTCTTCATTTGCTAGAAAAGGACAATGAGATCCAGCATCTTTTGTGTTAACAAGACCCTTTCTCTGTGAATTCCTCTTCCTCCTTAAATATGGGTTTTTTGAGACTGCTGGGCCACAACTTTACGCTACTTTTTTTTTTTTTTCTCCTATAGTATCTTCTGTTGACTGATAAAAGAAACAGAAATGCAGTATACTCCACAGCACAATATGGGGTATTAGTACCACCTTGTAGCTGTGTAATATCCTGGTTTTAGATGGTCATTCTTCTAGTTCATAGCTTATCTTGTTATTGTATTTGTGCACAGTTTCTCCAACATGCCTTAGAAACCTGTCTTAGATGAGGATGAATTAGCCTTTAGAGATGCCAGGTTGTCTCCTCTAGCTGTAGAGATCAGACACCAATTGTAGTCTAGATGTCAGATTTTAAGACTGCTTGTCTAGGTATGATGATTGTAATTGAAAATACTCCCCCTCTACCATGTGTCCTAAATTTGACAGTCCAAAGACATTGCCACCCCTAATCAAATAATTAATTTCTCTTGAAAAAAATAACCAGTTTGTCTTTAAAATATGAGATTTTATTTTGATAATAACATTTGAGAAAGTTTGTCTACTAGGCTTTGAAGTAAGTAAAATTAGATAGCCAGGTTAGATATACCATATTTTATTTGAAAATTTAATTTATTAAAGCTAAATTAAAGGATAAACTTTGACATTCTGAATAAAATCTGACTTTATGAATGATAAGAATAAAATAGATTTTAAAGTGCTGATTTAATTTTTGTAATAAAATCTGAACCAACCCCAGATTTTTTGCATTCATTCATTTTTTATTTAACAGTAGTCATTACCATCTTATGTAACACAAAGTATAAAGTCTGTTCATGCTTGTAATATGTGTTGTCTGTTTTCCTGCCTTGAGGACATGAGGCTCTCTCAAGTGCTGGATTCCATCTGCCACTTCTATCTAGTAAATGTTATTAAAGGATTTTAGTAATACTAAGAGCTAATTTCCAGCCTTCACCCTATACACTTTCCATTTTCTGACATATGAATATGGATATACCAATGTTAGGACAGTCTTGAGGAAAATACAGGGTAATCTTTGGCCACTGGAATTCATATATCAGAGGATCTAGTACTAAAACACCCTCAGAGGGAAAATCCAGATACTAATTAATTCAGTTTATTCCACTCTGAGTTTTCTTCATAGTCACAGGAACTGTAGTGTGTAAAGACTAACTTGGAAAAAAATTTAAGACATTATGCAAGATGAATTACCAGTCCAGATACATTTAATCTGATGCTACTCTCTAGTACTTGTATAATACAAAAAGCAAAGACATGTTTTTGTAATTCAAATTAATGGGAAAAGATACATTTTGGAGAATTAAATTCAACTGAATTTCCAATTCAATTTCATCATTGTTTCTATGGCATTGTCTATATTAAAGGTCCAGATAGAACAGGATCCTTAAATATGATTTATATGGTTTATATGAGTTCTTGGTTATTGCTGTAAGTTCATATATATATATATACAATATCTCCTCTTTCTATAGTGCCAACTGTGGATGTATTTCAGATCTCTACTAAGGAAAGATTTGGGCTGGGACATCAGCTGAAAAAGTAAGTCTGGAAAAGTGTAAACCCCTGTTTTTAGGCAAATATTAACACTCTTTTTAGTTCCCAGGCCACGTCAGGTAGGATAAAATTCACAGGTTGTCAGGTTGGTTGGATCAGAGTGTTTTGAACTTGTTTTTCTTTAAATAAAAAGTAATAGAAGTTACCTCTTTAAGTTCAGTTTTGACAATTGTTGAGAAGAACCTGATTTGTGCTCCCTGCCAGGGTTTTCTGTCACTTTCCTGGCATTTAGGAAGTAAGCTGCAAAAGTTCAAAAGACTGTAGCTAGGAGTGTTCAATCTCATGTTTCTGCTTAGATGGCGAAGCCTCTGAATTAGGAATCTTTTTGAGCATCATGCATACTCTAAGGGGCCTATACTTTCATAGTGGCCTCTAGGATGTACCACCATAATTTGCCCATCGTGTTTTGAGGAAAAGAGGGAAGAATAATTGAAAAAAATAGCATTTTCATGTATTCATGATACAATTCAATTTAACAGTTTTGCTGTGTCATCTTTTCACATGTGCTTGTGTATGTGTAATACAATGACAAGAATACAGACTTTAATACCTGACCATTACAACATTAAAAATCTCTTAAGAAAATAAAAATATTTTGCTATTTGGTGTTTAAAGGAACTCAATGCAGCATTTTTGTAACCTTACAAATGAAGCAATGTTACTAAAATCTCTATGGTAGATGACTTTGAAGAAAAAAAAAAAAAAAACAACACTCACCAGACATGAACAGTCTCTTAAAACGTTTCAGTTCTTACACTGTCTCTGATTTGTGCATTGGGTAATTACTAAAGCTGTCTGTAAAATGTTTTCAAGGTCATAGCTGCATAATTCACAGTTGAGCAGAAGTCAGAATACCCATGAACCCATGAACCCCCTGGCCCCTCATGTCTGTGGCAAGAGGATATTAATCTTAGAAAATTCACTAAATTTTCAATAAAGTCCATACCAACTTCTACTTTATCACTCAAAGACCCACACTGCTAGATTAGAGTCACAGAGCAATTTGGCTTGGAAGTCACCTAGTGCCACCTCCTGCTCCAAATAACACTAACTTCAGTTAGATTAGTTCACCCAGAGTCTCAGACAGACAAGCTGTGAAACTCCAGCCTTTGTGGGCAACCTATTTTATTTAACGACTCTTCCTGTCGATGTCTTCTTTTTATAGCCTTTATGGTTTTTAGCTTTCCTTGCCACAACTTGACTTCTGCATTTTGCTGTCCATCTCTGGAAAGTGTCTGGCTCTGTCCTCTCTTTAAGCCCTCTTTGGGGACTGTAATATTTGACAGCCCGACATTCATGTTTGTGCCTTAGGAGAATATGCTCCTACCTGAGCAGTATGGATGCTGTAGCCTATCTCTGTAGTCACTGGAGAGACAGATGCCTATTGTTGGATAGGATGCTTTTGAATCAGTTTGTCTCCAGATCTCCATGAGAGGCATACTAGCATTAAGTCTTGCAGTGCTTGTTTACACAGAATGTATTCTCCATAAGAGTTCTGTATAAATCAGTCTTATGTGGGGTAAAAAAGCATTTTTTGTGGAACTGAGTCACCCGATGATCAGTCGACATACATGGCAGAAAAACTCAGCCTGTAGAGTGAGGACATTGCATCATGTCACCTATATGGTGAACAGATATTATTAAAGTATCTTTTGGCTAGTATAAGAAAATCTGTTTTTCTTTCTTGATTTGCAGAATCATGCAGACATTTGTTACACAACAATGGAAGAACAGCAAAGAGAAATCTAATTGTACGCACAATAGGAAGGTGTCTGACAAAAAGGTGAAATCCCCTCTGCACATCTTTTCTACATTGCGCAGGTAATAACAAGGAAAATTAGCTGTTAACACCATATCCTGTTCAGAATCCATAGCAGACTTCACAAGGTGAAATGTTGACTTTTCTCCACAGAAAATTGCTTTCTTTATATCTTACCTCATGGGTTTCCAGTTCTTGCCTTGCATGACATCAAAAGTGAACTTGGTACTACTGCAGCTTCTAAGACTATTTGAAGGCAGAGCATTTCAGTGCCCTGCTCTCTGAAATAGGCATGTTTCATCTAGAATTGGAAATAATTTTATATTAAAACTGTATTTGTGTCTTTATAGCTTGGTAACATTTGACTGTTACTTGAATAGCAAGAATATAATTATATATTTATATATAAATAAAATATATAAATTATAAATATAAATATAAACGTAAATAAGTATATATTTTAAATAATGTGATTGTCTAGCTGTTCTTTCCACAGCTGTGTGTATTATTTTTTAAAATTAGAATGATCATTAATGAAAGGCTGATTTTTAGAGCTGCTGAGCACCCATCCCTCTCCAGTTTGAGTAGTTCATTATTCACCACTCCTGAAATGCATGCACAGAATTTCAAAGAACAAAGGTATTAGAAAATTTGTTTGTTAATAGTTCATTTGAATTCATTATGACTTCCGCCAGTTACTCATACTCACAAGTGCATGTAAAATCAGGTTCTGATTTTACCTCTTTCAGGAATGTGACTACTCTAGCATGTTTTCCTGCTTATGAAGGATTTACAGGTCACCTCTTCTGTGAATTTGAGTTGAACGGTTCTTTGAACATTCCTTCTTTTTGATAAATTTTGCTATTCTAAATTCCATATATAAAAAAGAGAGAGGGTACAGTGATCACTCACAATGAAGAAGGGAGGAATGTCAAAGATGACAAAAGATTATTTGTCTTTTCAAAGGAAGAAGAGGAAGGTGGTGTTTTAAGTAGAAAGCTTACCCATTCCTTACCATGCCACACACCATTGCCTAGCACAGGCTGTAACTTGGGGTTCTCTTTTAATCAGAAAGGGCATACAAAAGCCAGCCCAATCTTTCTCCTCGTTTGGCTGCTGCTGCAGTGCCTGTCCAAAGATGGCTCAGCCCAAATGCAGGGACCCCCTTTCTCCATAGAGCACCATTCCTACCTCCTCTCTGCAGGAGGGTGGTAGTGAGCCAACTGCAACAGTGAGTCAGCAACCTCCAGGTGCATCTTCTCCTGTCACCACTTGCTAACAGGGTGGGGAAACCTGCCAGCCTCTCTCCTTGGGTTTCACTTCTTTTTTATTCAATTCAATCCCAAAAAATACTCTGAAGATTGGGGTTGTTTATAAAGCATAGAAAAATGATTCAGCATACCTGTTACATGTTCTTGCTTTGCAAGGACAGGCAAATGTGAACCTTACAGAAATGTGACAGTTCATGTGATGTTGTTTCATAAAAACCCTTTGTTCTTTACTTTATGCATTTATAATTTACGTCCCTCACATTCTCATTTCTAGTGTTAGAGAGCTAGAATTTGCCTAAAACGGGAAAGAAGGGCCTCAAATTGTCTTCATAAAGCACCCAGGTTATGAGGTTTTTAAAAATAATTTCAGATTAATTAAATTGGCCTTACTACCTGCAAGTTTCACTGCTCCTTCTATCTTCTGTTGGATCTGGACATAAAATTTGTTACGCTGTGGCCAGAAGACAATAAGTTTAAAGGGATCACACCATGGTGATTACATAGGAAAAATAGATTTTGATAGGGCAAACATATTAAAATCTCATGTGAAATATGTGGTTTTCATTTCAAAGATAATTTCCTGATTAAATGTTTTCTTTAGAGACACGGAGGCCTTTACAAGGAGCTGTAAGGATATAGCTCTAGCTTCTATTTGAGTTGTTAGTCATATTTTTGATCAATGAGCTTGTGTGTAAATAGGAGTAAGATGTCTATTTGGTATTGGAAAATCAGTCCTTACATAGAATTGCTCATTTTTTAAATGTTGGGCTGCATTTATCGCTAGTGAAATACGTAAAGAGAGGTGACACTTAAAAATTTTCAGATACGTGTGGTATTGCTTGATTTGCACAAGATTTTGATTATTCTTCAACTTTGTCTTTTCCTTCTTTATTTTTAAGGTCGCCAAGTTATCCTCCACCTGGCTGTGGTAAAAATAAATCAAAACTTAAGTCAGAACAGGATGGCATCTCCAAAACTCACAAACTCCTGAGAAGGACTTGCTCTAGCACAGTGAAGGCGGAAGATATGTGTGCCACAAAATCTCACAGAACCTTTGGCCGCTCGTTGTCGAGTGACCCTAGGGCTGAACAGACAATGGCTATTAAATCGCACAAACTATTGAACCGTTCTTGCTCTGCAGCCGTCAAGCAGGAGGAGTGCATCACTCTAAAGTCCCATAAGCTGTTAAGTAGGTCGAGTTCCGGGGATCCTCGATGTGAGCACAACAGCACCTTGAAGCCCCACAAACTTTTAAGCAGGTCCTACTCCAGTAATCTTAGAATGGAAGAACTGGATGGATTGAAGAATCACAAGTTACTTAGCAAGACTTACTCCAATGCCCCTAAATCTTCCAAAATGGATCCTTTCAAGGAGTCCACCATAGCAGAGAGCAGGAGGCTCTCTCTTACCTCAGGGCTTATTGGTATTTTAACACCATCTTCATCATCACCTTCACAAGCTGCTGTGCGTAATATTTTTTTTTTATTTTGCTCATTTTCCTCCTATTTTTTTTTCCAAATATGCTGTTATGCTTGTTATGCAAAAGCATTAATACTTAGGACATATGTTAGTGAATATATTTGATATATTTAATATATTGGAAGACAGAAGCCATGGAGTCAGTTTTTTAAGGAGGATTTAAACAACTGTGCATGCACAAACATTTAAGTTGTGAAACCAAAATTTGCTTAACACAAGACAGAGGTTTTACGTGTCATGTTGAATACAGCTGGCCATAGGAAAAGCTCAATCATCCACTTCCTTCCTTGTCTCCTTTCTTGCTACAGTAAGAAAGAAGAGTGTGTACTTGTGTGCTGCAAAATTGCCTTGGCCACACAGGTCTTTTCTCATTTCACTATTTGCTTACTGGGGGAAGCAACTGTCCAGTGGCTTGTTCATGTGCCAAGTCACCTCTCCTTCTCGTCTTTGCATATGTGATCATCATCGTAGTGGAAGGACTGCAGTAATGATTCAGCTCACCTCTTGCGCATTTGTGCTTTGTGGAAGGCTTAACCTTCAAACATGCTGGTGCCTGCCAGAGGTCAGAGAAGGAATTAAGTCCACACCGGGCCCCTTTCTTTCCCCAGATTGGGAAAACAAAGGGTAGCACATATCCTTAAATTTAAGAAAGAGTGCTCTGAAGTAATAAAAAAATGGGGTTTATACTTTAGAGGAAAGAGTGGTTTTGCTCTAAAATACTCTTTGTGCTCTTCAAGGCACCCGTCTATTTTCTGTGTTAGATCTGGGGAGAGACACTGAGGAGACAGTCCTCTCCACTCCCTTAGCCTGGTGGTACCTTGATGTTCTTAGTGAGAAAGAAAAAGCTGATTCTTGCTTGAAATGCCACACATATATTCAAAATAGTGCATTCTGAATAATGAAATTACACTGAGTGTGTTATGTCTCATGGTAAATTAATTCAATGAGCTGCGAGCTATACTAATCAGGTTTAAAAGCAGTGATATACTATCATAAAATCATTTATATACATGCTGTGTGGTTGGTTCCTTTAATGTGCACAGCAATATTAATTTAAGGTGAGTGGTGAGTCAACAGGCTTTTCATTTGTCACAGTTTAGAGATGCATTTTTTTCTGAACCAGCGAGGATGTCTTAACATAGCAAGACTTTTGTCTCATGAAAAAAGTCCCACTGATTTTGATAAGATAATGAAGAAACAACTAAGTGATTTTATTACTGATGTTATCAGCTGATAAGGAAGAAGTGCAAGCCCTGCTTGGCAGTCTATAAAAACTACCAGTAATTTATTGCTAGAATGTATTTACTTTGAGGCAAAATCATCACATACATGGTCAGGTGCAGTTTGACTGATGTTAGTGAACAGCATCAACAGTCCCATTTCACATTTTACATGGAGGCACCAGATATATGGGTAGCCTGCGTTCCTAACCTGCAATTTGAAGTCAGTGGAAGATGGAAGTGATGAATCAGGACTCTAACTTTTCTTCAGTTCTCAGATAAACTATTTCAATCTCATACATGAATACAGTTAGGAGGATTGTTTCCCAGGAGAGTAAAGGGAACAGTTTCCCAATTAAGCAGTTAGAGAAATTATAGGAAGTAAGCCTATAAACAAAAAAATAAAAGCTGTAAATAGAGCTGATATGACTCCTTCAAAACAAAGTTTGACTGAGATAGATTTGTACTTTATTGGCTCCTGTAACAGAAGGCCTTCTAGTTTATGTTGCTGTGTGTTGAAAGAAAAAGGCAGAAAGAATTTGAGTGGATCTGTTAGCATGGTGCTTACAGAAGTGAGGTCTTAGTAAATAGAAATATTTTCAGCCATTCTACAAGTTCCATTACTCTTTTAAACTTAAGCAGATAGCCCATATTTGGTTAAAATTTCATGGAAGTTACCAAATACCAGCTTATTAGAATTGAGTGAAGGTACCCATGTTTCCATTTGAGATTAACGTTTTTGGGATGCTAAGATACAAAACCTCATCAGATTTAAGAACTAAAAATAGATGCTAAAAATCTATCCCACACTCAGCAAACAGTAAAAGGATTGATTATTTGTAATGGCTGGCTGATTTATGCTAATGAGAGATCTTTTTAGATGCAAGTATTGTTTAATTAGCATATTTGCACACAAAATTTACAAATGTTTTACCATTTCCTTGTAATTACTCTACCAACACTGAAGATGCCTCAACTTTTTCCTTGCAGCAGAACTATGGTGCAAAATGCATTCCAGTACGAGACCGTGGCTTTCTTGTGCAGGTAGGATGTCATATCTTACTCATTTATGAAACACTGTGGAGCACGAGCTGACTCTTAATTATTTTTAAGCAGATGTTGTTATTCTCATTTTCGTTGTTTTCAGACTATTGAATTTGCTGAGCAGCGGATACCAGTATTGAATGAATACTGTGTAGTTTGTGATGAACCCCATGTGTTCCAGAATGGCCCTATGCTGAGGGTAAGTGCTATGCTTGCTGGGATAAACTGCATTTTATAGTGCTTTAAATGGCAATGGACCGTACGAACCTGTTGTAAAACTATTGCATTATTTCGGATGCATTTCACCCTAATATCCTTTTAACATGCAAAAATGTAATATGTATTAACTAGATTTTGCTGTAAATTTGAAAAACATGTATTGCAAGCAAGGGAGATGGAAACCATGCTTGTATAATATCACAGAAACGTAAAGGAGGAATGCCTTTTATCCAACACCATTGTGCTACAGTAGTCACAACCAGATAAGACAGAGGAAGTGTATTAGAGTGCTTTCCCAATCCTCTGGCATTCTTTTAAAAGCTTACGGTCACCTCAGTCCTTGAGCTCTTATCAAGCCATAACCATGGTATTCAGATACACTGGTGTTAATGCCACAAGGCTGCGAAGTTCTGACCCCATTTTGTTCGTGGGCTGCTGGAATGAGCCATAATGTGATAAAAAAGGCAGTAGGAGGAGATGTTCTGTGAAGTGTCTGATCTAGCAGTGACCTACTGCAGGGACACTGATGTAGTTTGGTATTCCCAGAGTCTGGCCAGTTAAGAAGCTCTTCCTTCCTTTTATTCCTGTATAACTGGGAACTAGGAATTTTTCATCCTGAACATTGTACACTCTCATGCTGTTGGTGAATGCATACAGTGAAAAAGAGTGAGATGAGTCATGAGAGACACACTCTGCCTGGAGCTACTGGATCAGTGCAGCTTTGTGAAAGAGTGTATTAGAATAATAAAATTCTTACCTTTAGGACTGTTCTTGCAGTTTAGAATTCTTCTTGTTTCACCTATCCTGAATCCTGTGGAAACCTGTGTAACCTTAAAAGATCAAAGCCATTGAAAACTGTTTAATACTTGTGTGAATGGCCTGATATTGGTGAATTTCTCCACAGTGTGGCAAGCAACTATACATAAACTGAATCAGACATCATCTGTGATACTTCCATGGAACTAAATTCAGGAAGGTTTTTGCTTACGTGGTAGCAGAAGTCACCTCAGCGTCATCCCTCGCACCAGGGTCAGGCATTCTGACTGCAGGCAGGCTATGCAAATAGGCTGCTAATAAGATTTGCAAAAGCATCTACATATTCCATTAACACTGTTTTAAGTCATGGTTAAACCTCTGTATTTTGAAAATCCTATCAGGTGTTTCTTTTGCCTCTTCAAGCTCATATCTACCTCTTAGAAACTGTTTTCTGCTTGATCTATCAGCAGCCACACCCTGTAGAAAAGGCATCAGTTCCTTGTTCATCTTTGAATGCACTACTATGCATATTACCTGTTACAGAATGAGATAAGATAAAGTGAGTAATGTTTGGATAGTCAGTAAAGTTGGGATAATATAATTATTTAAATTATTGGGGTTTATTTATGGTCCACAAGACAAGGTAAACAGTAGGATTTATTCCAGTTCACATGATGAACTATTAAAAGAAAAGAGAATGAAAGGTCATCTGCTCTAAATAAAAAAATAATTTTAAAAAAAAATCTAAATTCTTCTTGCTTTCCCGCATTAGAGATTAAAATCCCTCAGATTTACTTTTCTCTGTCTTCAGCTTTAAGAGAGCTCATTTTAGCTACCTGTTTGAGAGTTTGTCAGTGCTTCAAAACAGGAAAGTGCAAACATGCTTGCCACTAAACATATATTCATCAGTGCCTTTGCAAGCAGCATAACCTAGCAAGCTTTACAAAAATGAAAGGGTATCATTATGTAACTCAGGGAGGAGATAGCGGGAAAAAATCCAGCATGCTCTGTGTATGCTTGAATGACTCAATAAGCAATACAGAGCCATTAATGAGTTTGCAGTTCTGTAGAAGGTGAGAAAGGATCTTAGTTTGAATTGAACATGAGCTTGCCAGAGAATCCTAAGGAAATTTATGCTTCACTCTACTGAGCTCCGGCAGAAGCAGCTTAAAGTAGTCAATTGTATGGTTCTTTTACGTGCTTCAGCTGCACACACACATACACATACATACATACCTACATACATATATGTAATGTGTATAAAAAATGACCCAACTGAAAGAGCACTTTAATACTGCTGCAACAGCAGATCTGAGAAATGCATACTTTTTTAAGCAGAAGCAGGGGGCTTTCATTTAAGGCAAGGCTACATGCAATCTAGCCTTATGTCACTTAACGGTTCCCATATGTAGCATCCCTGGCCTTCATTAAGAGCTTTTATACTTTTGGTACCACAGTAACTTCACCAGGTTTCATAATGATCAGAACCTTGCTATGTTCTTCTTATATTTTTAGATTCTGTGTCTAGATCCCATTTTCTACAGATGTCCATATCACAAGGGCATTACTTAGATAGTCTCTATCTGTAGTTGGTCATATCACAGGAGATGCCACAGACATCCAGACATAAACAGCTCTGGATGGTTCACCAGTCTTTTCCAGTAAAGAACAGTTCCTCCACACAACTGCGCACAGGGTCGTGTCTGGGTGTGTGTATCCTTAATAATCAGATTTTCTTCTAGTTTTTGGACCTTTTTTTCCAACAGCAAAGAAGGCATACGAATTTATAAAAGCATAGCAAAATTGTTGCTTGAGAAGTTATTTTTAAATATATTTAGTCTTGATTTTCTAGTATTTAATGGAGTTTCATGCAATTGCAAAGAAGCCAGTAAGGAATTTGATTCTGTAATCCTCTAGTATGTCAGCCTGAACTATAGTGTAGTTAATTAATTGTCTTGAAATGCAGTTAAAAATATTCAACAATTGCCATCACACAATAATTACATTGTTTTACTACTGTAAACTCTTATATCTGGGTGTAAATTTTTGTGCTGGTTATTAATGACTTGCATATTTCATATGTCTCATCCTCAGGACAGCTGAAAGTACCAAGTGAAATTAAGAGATAAAGCTTTTCCTTTCTGCAGATTTTCTGTACAGTCTGTTTTTATTTTCATTATAAAGTATCTTTAAACCAGTCTCTCAGCACAAGCTTTCTTCTCAGTACTGTGTTTATTTTCCTAGATAACTTTTCCTGGGGTGTTCTGGTTTTAATATCTATTGCAATTTACTTTTCTTTCTTAAGAACACCTTTCTCGTAAGATCAACTCGGTATCTTTTTCTATAGTTTAATTTTGACACTACATTCTGACACTACATTTGACACTACATTTGACACTACAGCTGCATAACACAATTGCATATGTTTGGCTTTATGCTTTTACAGTGGGCACCTGTCTTGCTCCAGAGCCTGTGGTGCTGATCTAATGATGCAAATGTTTCCTGCTGGTCCAGGGATCCTATTGTACACAGGAATCTTCAGAGGTTGTTAGACTACCTTAGTGACTTATTGAGGATAAATAAAGAGGCTACTGACCTGGTTTCAGCTGGGATAGAGTTAATTTTCTTCCTAGTAGCTGGTATAATGCTGTGGTTTGGATTTAGTATGGGAATAATGTTGATAACACACTGAGTTTTAGTTGTTGCTAAGTAGTGCTTGTCCTAAGGTAAGGATTTTTTCAGTTTTCCATGCTCTGTCAGCAAGGAGGTGCACAAGAAGCTGGGAGGGAGCATGGCCAGGACAGCTGACCTGAACTAGCCAAAGCCATATTCCAAAGGGAAGTTCCCTGAAATACAGAAGACCAGAATTACAGATACAGTTCATTTGTGTATTCCACAAGTGCATGTGTAGATAAAAACACATTGTGTAAGTGGGGCAACTTCAGAACACTCACAAACCTACTGCTCTCACAAGGAATTGCAACTGTATTACTGTGAAGGGGAAGAACAGAGGTTTTCTGGAATAGAAGAAAGAGTCTTAGAAAAGTACTACAGTACATCATGAAGCTGTAACACTCTTTTATGAAGGTCACAGTCCATTGCTTCATTCCATCCTCTTTTTAAAAACCACAGTAAAGTAGGCAATGCTTTCCTGTAGGTATTCACACCTTTCCCATATGAAATGAGGATGAATGTAATTTCTCATCATAGCATGTTTCTTTATTATTTATTTCAAGAGTACACTGAGATTGAAAGTTATAAAAGCTAAATTGGATGTTTAGAGATACACATTTATATAGAATGTCACCGAAAACTAAATTCCCTGGAATCACTACATGTCACGATTTGCAGTCTTTCTGCAAAACACAGGGAAACTTCAAGGAATATATGGATCCTAAGGAGAAAAAAAAAAAAAAAAAGTATTTTTTAACCATTTGTATAACGTAGACCACACTCTTTCATGCAGTTATTCTTAACAGTGATCTGAACCCTACATATTTCACTCTTCATAGAAGGTTTAAGAAACAGCTTTGAAATCATTAGCGAGGGTTGAGACTGCAGCCTTTACATTGAAACTGCTCCCTTATCTCATGTAAACAATCACAGTGCATCCTGCAAGTCGACCTGTGCTGCACAACTCTCAGGAGCTCTGGCATCAGTCTGTTCTGAAGTAGTTCTTCACTCAGCTTTGAAAAACAGTGGGAAGTACAGGTCAGAGATAGGTTTTGTGCTGAGGAGAGATAGAGAAGGCAGACTTGGTAAACCAACTGAAAATGATGAGTCTGCTCATCTGAATTATTAGTCTTGTGTTACTGTTGTGTAGTTGTGAGAGAGATAAGTTGTGTAGGTGAGTGAGGCATGAACTATTGTTTGTACTTAATGGGTAGATTTTAATTATTTCAAAAACAACTTTTGGAATGCTTTCTGACATCTTCAAACAGTTGTTATATCATTGACATATGTGATGTTAAAACAGTTAAATAGATTTTCCTGATTTCTGTCAAACTACCATATTAGACTAAATATTAGAAGTAAACTTAGGAAATTTTAACAACTTCCACAAAACCTATTCTGAAGTACTGAGGTATTGTCCCATGAGACATGTGTCTCCAGTGAAAAACATGTTTTATCCACTGCCTTTCACTGGCTTTTGAAAACCTCCAGGCGTGGATTCTCCACAACCACTCTGAGCAACCTGTTCCAGAGCTTGATAAAGCTGTAATG